GATTCATCAATGCATAAAGATATCAATTATAGATATGAGACCATGCATAGTGAATGATTGAGAAGAAAAAATATTTTTATTGTTTGTAACCAAAGAGAGAGAGAAAGAGATAAGTCAAAATCAATGATTTTTTTTGTTGTTGTTTTTGTTGAATATACCAACAAAAAAAAACCAAATGATACAAATGAACCAGAAACACAATGACATACTATTCATATATGATTCTTCAATAGAAAAAAAATATCAAAATGACGATTATAAGTCGAGTACCGAAATCGATATTCTCGTCGCATCAGAGCATCATGTTTGTTGTTATATAACATGGATGATAATGGAAAGCAAACAGACAAACAGACACATTGAGGGAGAAAAAAAGATACCATATATTACCATGTGAAAGGTGATATGAAGAGAGCTGTATGTATGTGGAATGTTTTGATGTTTTGTTTTTGTATGTTGGTGAGAAAGAAAGAAATTTTTGCTTTCGCAAATTTTTTTTTCTCATTATTAGTGATTAGATTTGAAAACTAATCATAGAAAAAAAATATAGAAATAGAAATAAGGAAAACAAATTATTTCCGTAAATTGGAGATGAATTCATCCAATAGATAGATTTCTCTCGTTCCTCGATCGATCGATCGATTGATCCGATCAAAAATTCAAAGTGAAATTTGATTGATTGATTGATCGATTAAGTCATCATCATCATCATCATCAGATCGATAATGACCAATGCAAATTGGTCAATCAAATTGTACTGTATATTGTTGGCATGTTGAGAATCGATCATTTTAACACTTTTTGTTGCTGTCTATGCCGCAATCAACATCATCATCATCATAAATTGGGTGCCAAATCATACACATAGGTAAATCATTTTCTAACGAGAAAAAAAAAAAAAAATTTCAAAGTCGACAAAAAAATTTGGGTCATTCATATGTCTGCGTATGTGTGTGTGTGTGTGTGAACCGGAAACATCAAAAAAAAAAACTAAACCCTCATTCAATCATTGTTGTCGATTATTTAGTGTTTATATGAGCAGCAAAAAAAAAATGTTTGTTTGTGTGTGGGCGACAAAAAGTCAGGCAAAGCAAAGCAAAAAAAAAAAAATAAGGTTAAACAAAATGTACGCATCTTTTTTTTATTATTATTTATGTTTCGAATGTATCAATGTATCTATCTCTCATATACCACGATGATGATGATGATCAAGTCATCAGCCTTTTATCACATTTTTTTTTTTTTACCAAAACAAAAAAGAAAGGAAAAAATCCAATTGAGAGGCACCCAAAATAAAATTTCAATTCTTTGCCGGTAATCATTCATTTCTCACAAATATCCGTGACAAAAAAATATGATGATAAATTTCTTGGCATTCATGTGAAAAGAATAATAATAATTGTCAATATTCTTGTCGCTATAATGAATGAGGGAAAGAGATGAACAAAAAAAAATTCCTAAAATTGAATGAGAAAATTTTTTTTGGTATTTCCAATTTTTATACTTGAAAATACCCAAAGATGGACCAAAGATTGCCATCCATCGATATATAAAATCTATATAAATCTAAAAAAACAATCAATCCTCACCAACAGTGATCTAGAGGTGGTGGTGGAGAGAGGGGTAATCGAAAAAATCCACCATAGTTCATCGGCTTCTATAGATGAATAGATTGTTTCATGTAGTGTTTGTGTTTATGTGTGCGTGTAAGTAAAGTAGTTTTTCCACCATTTTTCTGGTCATACGACGACGACCATAGATAAATAGGCATTATATAATAATGAAAAAAAAAATATCAAAAGGTTGGACCCATCATTCATTCATTACTATACTGATGATGATGATGATTATTTCATTCTGATCATTCTATACATTCAATTCGACATGACTTTGAGATTTATATGTATGACTGGATTGGACTTGTTGCTTCTTCTGTAGTCGATTTGTCTTTTTTTGCCTCATCGTATATTATTATTATTATTAATGACAACCCGATGAATGGACAAACTACACTACTATTTATTTGATCGATCATTCGCTGTAATGACGATGACCAAAACATTTATATATATAAAAAAAAGACGAGGATACCATTATCATCAACATAATCATCAAATGATGATGGTCAGTGCAGAGCAACAACGAAAAAAAACCCGTATGAAAAGGGTTATATATCAGCAAATCATAAACACAAACCAATGGTTATCATTCATTTTGCATTCCATTCGTGAAAAAAAATTTTGACAAATCTTTATCCATCTAAGAAAACTAGAAAATATATTTTGTTTGTACGTAAATGAAAACAAAACAAAACAAAAAAAAATTTCATCATCATCATAAGAAATTCGAGAAAAACCGGATCTATTTTTTAATTCATTCGACGATCGATATTAGTTGCAAAGAGAGACTATTCTAAAGCAAGCAATCAGGCAACAAAAACGTACTCAACCCTTTTATCATCATAATCATCATCATTGATGATTATGATGATGGCGCCCATATTTAGAATGTTCAAAAATCAGGATTAATAAATATATAGAACTGATGAATTAATGTAGCTATACTACTATTTTCATTAAATTGAAAATTGTAGATTATCCATAGATTTGTGCGCGTAATTGGAAGCTGTTGTTGGTATTATTAAAATGAAACCAAAAAGAAAAAAGAAAAAACAAACTTGGACATTGGTTGGTTGGTTGATAATGGCAACAACAACAAAAAAATTGAATAAATCGACTATTATTATTATTAAACAGAATATTACCTTCTGGCTATATTTATATGAAAAAAAACAACCAACTTTAATCACATCAAGTGTCTGTATTATGAACAAATAATGTTATATTACACAATGAATGAATCACATGAATAGTCGACATTTTCATGCTAGATTAAACTGGATACTAAATGAATGAATGAATTGATGGATATATGGACTACATCATTACTTAACTACTCTATTTTTATATATTTAACAAATCTAGTAGAGTTTTAGAGTTTAGAATTAGAATTTAAATTTGTTAAATGTCTATTTACTATCCGTTGGACAAAAAAAAAATAGAAAGTGAGAAAATAAATTATCCAAATACAATATATAACAAAAATGGGTGGTAGTAACAAAAATAGAAACACAGGCCATCATTTGTTTGTTTCATTCATTTTAAAATGACAAATTCGGTCGAATAATGATCATACGATCAAGTAAGTATCCCTCGACAGTTTTTTTTCGTGTGCTGGGGGAGGAAAGTAGTGGTAAGAGGTGATGTATGACTTTTTTTTACCCTTTAAGAAAAAAATCGAGAGCCGCTTGGCACCAAATTCATCATCATACCTCATTGGCTCCAAAATTCCAGACTTACAGTATTTTTCCGTTTTTTTTCGTTGTTGTTATAATTATTTGATTTCATCATCATTATCATCATCAGTGGAAAAAAATGATGAGTGAAAACAAGAGTTTTGTGCCGGTCTGCTGATCTGAAGATGTCTTAAAAGATGATGATGATGATGATGATGGTAATAAGAAATGAATCAACCATCATCATCATCATCAGCAACAATAACTAAAAAAAAAAAACTACGCAGAAATAAAAATTTTCAATGAACAGAAGCCAACTACAACCATCACCACCACCACCATCATCAGCAGCAGCAGCAATACAAAACATGTGATAGAAGCAAAAAATAGCTATGTTAGCTAATTTAAAACATTTTTCTTTTTTTGATCAAGTAAAGGATAAAAAAGGGTTGGGGATAAGATTTATTAATATAAATGGAATATGAATAAATGAAAAAAATACGGGTGGCATCGAGCACAATCAACTTTGCCATTCATTCATTCATTACATTTCATTTCTATCTATACATCTCTCTCTCAATCACACAACTTAGAAAGACAAACGGACAAAAAAAACTTGAATAATAATTGATCGTTAACCATTCTATATGGATAGTAAAAAAAAACTTTGAAGTCATACAGAGAGAAAGAGAAAGCGAACAAAAAGAAATCTGATTGAACCAAAGTTTTTTCAAATGGATAAAAACAATGAAAATGGTTATGATGATGATAATGTGAGTGAGTACACACACACACGATAATTGCTCGTCAATTTCATCTTTAAAAATCATGATGATGATGATGATGATGACATTACAAAGGCAAGAACAAAAAACAAGGGAAAGATAAGAAATAAACCCTTTCGATATATTTCTCTGTTTTCTTATCACCAAAAAATTTTTTTTTATTCTCATTGATAACAAACAAACGAATGTGTGTGTGTGTGTATATTTCTGTGATTACATTAGGTAGCTGTAGGTAATGTGTGATTTGTAATTGTTATCGATGAAAAAAATGATACTTTTTTTGGTTTCAAGGTAAAGAAAAAAGAAGGATCCTCTTTCATTTCGTTTCATTTCTATATTACTAGCTCTTGTCATGTCAAAAGTAAACAGGACAAAATTCAATTGGTCACTAGTTATGGGTGCGAAAAATGAAAAACATTTGTCAACATTGAAAAATTGTCATTCATTCAGGTAGGTATATAAGAGGCACCACTATTATAACAATGTTACAATGAACTTTTTTTTTGTCATCATTATCATTATTATTAAATATCCAACAAGACGCCAAACAGAAAAAATGACAGATTGAAAATAGAGATTCACACACTTGGCCTACACTCATGATATGTCGCCAAACGCCCACAAAAATGAGGATGTAATAAAAACTAATTAGATACAAACACTAAACAATTAACTAACTTACTTACTAGACAAAAAATCCGGGTCGACAGTTTAAAGTTCAAGAGACAATAAAAGAAAAACAACAAAAAGCTAGAGCAAAAGAAATCGATAACAAGATAAACAACATAACCATAATAATCAAATTTAAATGCGAATTGGGCGTCCGGGCATATAATTTGTTTTGTTTTCACATATGAAGCTCAATGAATCAATAATTCAAGAGGCGAATTTTTTGAAAAATAAAATGAAAAAAAACTTACCTATGGAACATAATTCGATAAATGTATTTGCATGACGACGTATGATGGCCTCAATCGTTGATGTTGAACAAGATTGATGATCATTCGAATTGTTTGTCCATGAATTATGCTGTTGTTGTTGTTGTTGTTGTTTTTCATATACAATCGGTTCATCATCATCATCATGGCGACTAGTAAATTGTCGATGATCAGATTTCATACGTTTCGATGGATGGTTTAAACTTCGAATCGATGTTTTCCGTTTCCTTAATGATGAAACATTCGTATTATCATCATCATCATTTTCATTATCAGAACAATGGTTTTTTGTCATTCTTCGTACAGTTTTTCTTAACCTTCCAATATCGACATCATCTTGATGATGATTACTTATACTATATCGACGAATTCGATGATTACGTCGATTACATTGTTGTTGTTGTTGTTTATTCGGTTTTTGACAAGTATTTGTTGCTGTTGCTGATAATAGATTCGATAAAATAACCAATAGATAATCCAGATAATCGGTTGCAATGATTGAACTGACATCCCATGATAATTCTTTCAGGATAAGTTGTTCCCATATCTATACAAAAAAAATAATAATAAGATATATTTCAATTTATAATTGACAAATGAAAAAAAACAAACAAACCAGAATTTCTTTCACGGTGAATGCATGATCACTTGCAAAGCTTAAAAATTCCAGATCGAATGTATTACATTGACGTATTTTCGATGCAATCAACATGCATACAATGCCAGCCAATTGTAATTGTTGTTTAGGTACAGTAGGTTTAGCCAATATAAATCGATCCAAGTAATTGACCGAAAGGCTAAATATGCCAGGTTCACATTTGTATTGTTCACATACCTAGAGATGGTTAAATAATAAAAAAAAAAAAAAAGAGTCAAGAAAAAAAGATAATAAAATTAAAAATCCGAGACAAGACAAAGAAAATATATTTGCATAGACGAAAAAAAAAATTTCTTTTTTTTTGTTAAATCAAATACAAAAAAAAAGAAAAAGAAATTTAGTCTCTTTCGTGTCTATATTTGTGATGATGAAATGGCATGTTTGCCCCTCAAACAAATACACAAAACACAGACATGAACAGGAAATCTCTACGTATATGTTGAATGATGGTATTTGATAAAAAAAAAATTTGGTTAGATTTCATTTACATTTGACTATTTTCACATATATTGTACACATATATTTACATACCTCGTGCATCCATTCGGTCAATTCAAAACGTGTTTTTTCATTTATATCACTTGTCGATGAACGATATACAGCATCGATTACATTCAATGGTATATATCGCTGTTCAATCGATAACATTCTTTTAAGAATTCTTTCTTGATCATCAAGTAGATTTTGATCTAGATGACTGATTACCGATTCTGGTTCTTCCGCTAGTCGTTGCCTTGGCTGTGGTGGTAGCTGTTGTTGTTGTTGTTGTTGATGACTAATTGACATTCGATTTTGATTCGATTTGGTTTGTTGTAATTGTTGTTGGTGTTGCTGTTGTAGTTGGCTCTCATGATCACCACTATCATATGGTTTTCGTTTTCTACAATTTCTATTATTTGTTCGATAATGATGATGTTCATCATCACCATAACTAGAATGAATAGATGATATAATTGATGTATTTGAATCATAACCACTTGAATCGCTTGTTGGTGATGATTGATCCAATGATTGATAATGATGTATAGCAATTCGATGTGATCCATTTCTATGTGAACGATGTAAATTTAAATGATTCTGTCCTAACGACGATGATGATGATGATGTGGTTGATGATGATGGTGGTGATTGTGGACTAGGTTCATTGCAAATCAATATTTGATGTTCCATGTTCCTGATAATGATGGATGATTTATATGGGTACGGTGACAAGATGATTTTTTCAAAATCAAAAAAAAAAAAAAAAATGAAAAATCTTCAAATTTACACACACAAAAACAATCACACAAAACAGAAAAAAAAATGTGAAAAAAAAGTTAGGGAAATGGAAATAGAAAAGTTGAAATCAGAATAGAGTTTCGTTTCGAACATGCGCCCAAATATATAAAGATAACGTGTGTTTCGAATGAAATTTTTTAAGGTCGATGTAGGTGTGTGTGTGTGTGTGTGTGAGTTTAAGGGTGCTGTTTGTGTTTGTTGTCGTTTACTTTTGATGTGCTGGATCCCCAAAGACACACAAGACAATTTTTTCTGATATTTTTTGTTTTGTTTTACAAATGATGATGAAGATGATTCGAATTTAAAATTCGAAATTCAACAATTTAAAAAAAAAAATTAAAACAAAATTCTTGTTTTAAAAACAATTTATGGGTATAAAAAAACAAACAGAAAATCAAAAAAAAAAAGAAATTTTTTGTTTTTTATAAATCGAACATTGATTGTGATTGTGTATTGATTGGTGACAAGAATTGAATTTTTATTCTCTCTTTGGCATTCATCTGATAGATGATGACACAAAAGAGAATGTGTGTGTGTATGGGTGGGTGTGTGTGAAACAAAATGTAAAAAAATAAGGATCACACACACACAATGATGATTGGATTGGTTGGATTTTGGTAATGATTGTGGTGATGGTAGTGTTGGTGGTGGTGGTGGTGGTGGCTGTGGTGGTGATGGTGACAAAAATTGAAAGGGTATGATGATGAAATGGAAGAACACAACATTTTCGAAAATTAAAAAAAAAAAAAAATTAAAAATGAAGAAAAATGTTTGAAATGGAAGAAAATGAAAAATTTTTTTCCATTATCCTGCCATTCATTATTGGTTATTTTCAAAAAATTTTTTTTTTTGGTCCATGATCATGATCATCATCATCATTCATATTATAAAAACATGAAACAATTTCGATTTTTTTTTTGTTCAATTTCTATGATGAAACACAAATTTTTCTATTTTTTTCTTCAAAAAAAAAAACAAAAATCAAGAAAAAGTGAAATTCTCATTCACAAACCATCAACTATCAACAACCATTCGAATGTAAGTTACAAATTGAAATGTTTGAACCATATATATAAAACTTTAGTTCTGTTTTGTGATGGTGTTGATCATCAATCAGCGTCTGAATGATCGTTTTCGTGAACAGCAGCATATACAACATACATACATACACAGACACAGACAAACCATTCGCTGATATCTTCTGTACGCGCCGGTTCTTCATTGATAATGATGATGATGATGATGGGTAGAGGTATGGCCATCAGAAAGAATATCTACACATTCGAGAATGATGATGATGATGTTGAACACGCGCAACAGATTATCAACTATTCATTCACAGGTAGTGGTATTTTTCGAAACATTAGGGCCAAAAAAAAAAAATTTTTTTTCATAGCTGCGGAATATGTATATATAGTACGCAAGGTACAGGTACGGTTATATTAAATACTATCGACTAATGCTACTACCTATCCATATCCATATATATATATTGATTAATATATACTTACTTTGGCCCGTATATATATAAAAAAAAAGCGCAACAGGCGTACCGATAAAAATGATGTGATCGACCCTAAACACCTCCTCCTCCTTCTTCTCCTTCTAATCGCAGTAGATTTCAATTTTCGAATGTCCGGATTATTTTGTCGTTGTTGTTGATGTTAGGCGTCATCAAGACGCCAGGTCACCAATGTAATCAATGTAATCGAATCTACTAGCTGTATTATTATTGCACAGACATAGAAATATTCTCACGGTCGAAAAAAAATTGATCGGAAAAATTTTCGGTTTTTTTTCTGCTGGTAGGATAACGCATACCCAAAAAAAAAAAAAAGAATTCTTTGGAACCATTGCTTGGATTTGATGAGAATTTTTTTTTTACTTACTTTGATTTGTAGAATTTCCATTCAGAATCAAGACTTGATCATCCAATCTAATTAGAATGAAAATAAAAATGAGAAAAAAAAACAAAGTAAAAAACATCGAGTGTTTGTTTGTTACAGATCAAATTTCATAGCCCATTGTTGATTTGGTCAATTTTGCTGAATCGTTGATGTCTTTCCTGTTATTATATTTTCATCTGGTAATTTGCCCAGATTTCTTCATTTCTTCAGTTGTTTTTTTTCTGCTGAGAGATCACTTACATGATGGATTGGATAAATTTTTTTTTGGCCAAAAAATTTTTTTGTTTTTTTTAATGAGAATGATTTTTTGATTTTAATGTAATTCTAATTCTAATTCTCATTATTATGAATATATATACTCAGCTATTTTGACATGTTGTTGTACATTGACTATTTCCACATTTCGATCCAACAATAATCAATATCGAACAAAAATGATGATGTGAAAGATGGATTATATCATATGCAAGAGCAAAAAAAAAAATTATTAACGATAAATTTACGACACACACACACACATACGTACTTGATATCCGGTTTTTTTCATTACTAAAAATGGTTTTTTTTTCTCTTTGTCTGTAAATCTGTCTGTCTTTTTCATTCGTTGAATTTGAAAAACGGTAATTTAATGGTCTGTTTATAATGATGATGATTGTTTCCAAGCTTCAATTCTCCTTTCGTCAGCTCACATGATCATTTTATTGACGCTCGAGGGTTTAATTGTTTATCGCATGAGAGATGGCGTAAACTCAATCATCCCACCACGTACCGCTTTATCACGAGCTTTATTGTACGAAGCGCATCGCTTAGCTAAACATAACGGTGTTAAATTATCTTTGGCTCAAATCCCGGTGGAACTTGTTATTGAGTGACGCCAACCGATCAATGGCGCGTTTAATTTACCGATGTGTTCTTTGTCGGAAACGACGCGGAAAAGGAATATCCCGTTCCTCTTGGGCCAACGTACCATGAAGTGGACGTGTTCAGTGGTCCGTTTGCTCGCATTGCCACTGACGATTTGTCGGCCCTTTTAAGTTATTAAATGGTCGTAAATACTGGGGATTGATAGTCATTGCTTATCTACACTTTGGTGTCTCTGAATCGGAGTTTTGGAAGATCTGACACCTCAATTCCGCTGGACGAGCTTTACGAAGTCTATTTTCCACCACGAAGTTGATTCCCAAGTTCATCATTTTCAGATAATGGTACCAATTTCAAACTGATCAAATTAGCCCTTGAAAAGGCGAAAATGTCCGTTAGTATGGTGGACGACAGCTCCATCTGCTCCTTTGGCAGAACGGAACGGCTGAGCGTTTTGTTCAGATGGTTAAGTCATGCTTTGTTCATTTACGACAAGAAATGCCGTTCTTTCTGATGATGTAATGTTAAGATTTCGGGAAGTCGAATCCATAATTAATGCCCGACCAATTATCGCCAACGATCGTCCTATCTCGGTTTTTTGAATCTTTTGCTCAACGTCCGTTTACATCATACCTGAAAACTGATTTCAAAAAAACCCATCGATCTCGATTGTTTTTATTTTATTTTTCGTGTCTGTCTGATTATCTACATGTATTGATACAATTCTTTATATCATATGCAAGAGCAAAAAAAAAAAAAAAAATTATTAACGATAAATTTACGACACACACACACATACGTACTTGATATCCGGTTTTTTATTCATTACTAAAAATGGTTTTTTTTTCTCTTTGTCTGTAAATCTGTCTGTCTTTTTCATTCGTTGAATTTGAAAAACGGTAATTTAATGGTCTGTTTATAATGATGATGATTATTATTATTATTATTACGTCTTGTTTGTCGTTGTCTTTGTAGTCATCGTTTGTATATATGTGATATAATAATAAAATTCAAGCTCAAAACCACAACGTTGATGATCATGATGATGATGATGATGACGACGACGACGATATGATGATAATTTATCCAATGACAACAAACAATGGGGTATAACCTTCTTTTTTTTTTGTTTTTGTTTTTTTGTTTCCACTTACGTTCACATTATGTTTTTTTTCACAGTTTCTTACTTACGCCCGAATAATACCGAATCATCTTTTTTGTTTGTTTGTTTGTTTGTTTCTCATTCATGAATGGTAGCCAAAAAATATTTTAAAAAATAACAGACAGCAGAATTGTCGTGTCAGGATAAAGATATATTCACGCACACACAAAAAAGAATCAAGACAAAGAATCCGATGAATGAACGAAACGTAATACGTTTATGCAATTTAAAAAAAATCATGTTGTTGTATGAATGAATGAATGATGTGTTTACACCATTTTTCATTTTTAAACTTTATGTGTTTCCTCATCATCATCATCATCGTTTAACCCTTAACCCGAAATGGAATAAAGATGTTCAAGAATTCTGATGATTTCAAATTTCAAACAAATTTCAACCAACTGATTTATTTGATTCATCGAATGAAATGTTTTTTTCCACTTGACATCACAACCGAGAGAGAGAGAGAGAGAGAGAGAAAAACCAATGAATGTCGTCATCTTCGAAATTCTTAGACGTCTGTGTTGGTGTTTATTTTTTATTTATTTTTTTTTCGTACTCGTTTTCAAAATATTTGAATTGAATTTATTGCGAAAACGAAAATTCTGTATTCGGGCGTAATTTCAATTCAGTGCAGTGCAGACAACAACAGACGAAACAAGAATATCATCCGGAAATTCATATTTGCCATTATATATGCATAGTTTTTTTTTCGTCTGACACATAATTATTATTATACCCACACTTTTGTGTGTATGTGTGTGTGTGTATGCTGGCTGACTCATTTAAAATATCATTGCTCGAACCAAGAATCTAAATTAAGCACAAGACACAAGACAAATTCATCCATCAGGTATTTATCTCATTCATCAAAAGATCATTGGACATCATCATTTTTTTTTTCTTGCATCAATAGCCAGTCATTCATTTATTAACTTGAAATTTTTGTTTTTTTTCATTTTAGATCAAAAAAAAACTTGGATTGAAGAAAAAAAATCAAAAAACGAAATTTTATAAAATTCTGTAAAATCGACTGATTCAAACGAAATCATTTGCCAAAAAAAAAACAACAACAACAACTGCAGAAGCAGCATTAATTCCTGCATATTTGTATTTGAAACCAAAAAAGAAAGAAAACTTGGCTAGACTAAATTTCATAATGATGATAATCTGCCATAGCCACCCCCCAAAATCCTTTAAATCCGAATCATCATCATCATCATCGTTTTGTTTGTGTTTATGATTATGATGATGTTGTAGATCACATGTGTGTTAATTTATGACCAAATGAATTTATTTTTTATTCATCATCATCATCAACATGATCATCAACAATGAGAATATTATTATGACAATCGATTAGCGCATTCATAATTTGTTATTTGATAACATTTGAAAAATTCATTCATCCATCCATCCATCCACCCACTCATTCATTCATTCATTCTATTCCATTTTATTGCCCAATCCACTCCCCCCTCAAAATAGATGTATGGTTGGATGGGTTATCACCATTTATTTTTGGACAACTAGTGTGTGCAGAAGCTACAAAGCTGCTTGATGATCTTATCGTACAAAAATAAAAAAAGATTCTCATTTTGGCTGACATTCATTCAACCCTTTTCAAGAAAACAAAAATGAAGGTGATTGCCCAAATTTTTTTTCTACTTTCTTGAATCATAATTGATTTTAAAACACTTTGTTTTGATTTTTTTGTTGTTGTTGTTACAGATTGGTGCCCAAAAAATTGTGAAATAAATTGATCAATGGATTGAAAAGATGTCCGATTATTGACATTTCGTCGAGGAAAAGAAAAAGATAAAGAAAAAAAAGGGTTCTCATCAATCAAAATGGTTTAACTGCTTTAATTATTATCATCATCGTCATTATAAATTCACCTATCAACAGGTTGTTGCCAACTATCTCTCTCTTTTGAATATTTTATCGTTTTTTTTCGCGATTCCATGTATGATGATGACAACACCGGGATTCTCTCAACTACTCAATCTGGTTAGTAGTTTTTTTTGTTGCTCTAATTTGAATTTTATCACTTTATCAGTTTTGTCTATAGGGAATTAATATGAAATGATGATGATGATGATTGTCGTTTAACGTTTACACGTTGTCGTGTATTATTAGAACCAGTTGACTACAAATCCAGAACTACATTTACCTGTGTACTACTACACCATGTATTATGTACGTCAAGCACCTTGTTTGTTTCGAGGAAAAAAAAAGAAGAAAAAAAGATTAAAAAGAAAACTTGTCGATAATCAATGTTTGAGTTCAATGAATCGATTATTATCATTATTGAACCATCATCATCATCATCAACATCATTATGACTGGTTTCACGGTCGAGATCAATCGATCAATCCATCAATCCATCAACTCATCATCATCATCATCACCAAAATAAAAAGTAAGAGAAAAAATTGGAAAAGTGAAAATATCTTTTATAATATATGCACAGACCAACTTTTACAACAACAACAACAACAACAGTTTGCGTAGGGAGCAATGGGTTTAAGAACAAAATGAAGAAAAAAAAACGCTAGACTATTATAGCATTGCATGTGTGTAAAAAAAATTTTTTTTAGTCGTGATTTGTATGAATGAATGAAAGAAAAAAAAATATCCACGAAAAAATTCATCGTCTGGATTTTTGATTGTCAATCACACATAGACATAGTGAATATATAAAAAAAAGTGAAAGGATTGGCTCATACAGTAAGGGTTCTATTATTTAATTGAACAAATGAGAAACAATGTTCTTAAAGCCGGCCAATTATTTTTTTTGGCCATTCCGGCAAAAAAAAACAATACCGCTGACAAGTCTTAAAAAAAATTTTTTTTTGTCTGATTAAAATCAGTTGTGCACCACTGTTGCTATTGTTGTTGTTGTTGTTGTTGTATCCCCCTCACACACACACAACCGAACAACCGAATCATCATCATCGGTTATCGGAGATAATTGCCCATATAGTGAATGGTCTAAGTATATGAAAACCAATCATATCGAATTTGATTTTCATAAATAATTGGGCCATTTCAATCGATTATTCTGTTTGTTTGGAAAACGAATCATTGAAAAAGGTAATTCATTTGAATTTGAATCCACAGTGTTTCGCAAGATTCATCATCGGATCCTGCCCAATTTGTATTTATCATCTCATTTGGAGATTCTTCAGGAAGTCCGGAGTGTTTTGCGATTTCTATCGGAAATTTCCTCAACCAGTGTCGATAAAAATTCGGCTCCTAGATATGCTTGATTTCTTGGATCTTGACGCAAGACAGCATATTTTTCTTTACCGCTGATCAAATTTTTCTTCATTGTATTGATGTCCCATTGATGTTTCGTTTTGGTAAACTTTTTGTTATTTCGGCTCTTAACGAGAAGGTATTTGAATAATGCTGAACGAGCGCGTTGTAAGCTGCTTCGTATGATTTTATTCCGGGAAATAACACCTAATGGTTCGGGTAACAATTTTGAGATTGATGTTCTCATTATGTATCAATGAATCATATGCTTTCTCGAAATTTTATGAAATTGTCGAATTTAGTCGAATTTCGGTATCAAGGTTCTGTTTCAACGAATGGTTTTCTCTTTCTTCGTTGCCGGTTGAGCTTGGTAGTTACCATTCTGAACTTCACTGTAGTCGATGGAAATGTTTGAACCCGGTTGCTGCGGCCATTGTAGTTGCCGGCCATTGCAGAGGCGACCATTGTGGTTGCGGCCATTGTTGTTGTGGCCATTGTTGTTGCGGCCATTGTTGTTGCTGCCATTGTTGTTGCTGCCATTGTTGTTGCGGCCATTGTTGTTGCGGCCATTGTTGTTGCGGCCATTGCTGTTGCGGCCATTGTTGTTGCGGCCATTGTTGCTGTGGTGGTTGTTGTTGTGGAATCGTTTGTGGTGGTGGTTGTTGTTGTGTGGAATCGTTTGTGGTGGTGGTTGTTGTTGTGGGAATCGTTTGTGGTGGTGGTTGTTGTTGTGGTGGTGGATCGGTGTTGAGACACGGACCCTTGTACCGATGTCTTCGTTTTGGTGTAGTTGATGATGACCGTGGGTGACCGAATTTCTACCGAGTCATTTTGATTTCATTCTGAAATCTTACGTGAGAATCGGCAAAGTCACTTGTCAGAATTGTTCTTCTTGAAATCTTGCTTCTCCTAAATTCTTCCTGAGTTTTCAACACCAATTCATTGGCAATTTCCAAATCTTCAATTATTTTCTCCCTTGTAGGAAGATTTTGCACGTTGTTTGCTTTCCAAGTATCAATATCTTGGGTTGCCTTGATGATATCTTTTTGATAAGATTTTGCTTCATCTAAGCATTTGCTTATTTCTTCTGAGGATTTTTTGCGTCGAACATTTGTCTGCTAATTTCCTGATGCGGCTCGCTGCCAACCAGAAGGCTATTGAGTCAAGCTCAAAATCACTAGGCGAATTGCTTTGCATTTTTCTTGATGTAAATTTCTTACACGGTAGCACGAGAGAAAGATTTTGTAAAATCGAAACTCTACCTCACGTTTTGAGGACCGGATGCTGGTATCCAACTCTGAACTTTCTTGATCAAAAAAACAATCCTATTTTCTTCTTTATGGAAACAGGGACCAAGATCTTGCTGGCTTGTGATGTATAACTTGCTTCGGCTACGGAGACGGATCCTGTACTTTGAAGATAGCTATACTGGTTGCAACCACGTTTTTCCTGAATGGATTTCTTTGTGTCACTTGCTGATTAAAACCGCGTTCTTGGTTGTCGATAGAAAAACTCATACACACATAAACACACGTAGCACCAGTGTGTTGCTATTGTTGTTGTTGTTGGTTGTTGTATCCCCTCATGCTTTCACAGAACAGTTGTGGCCACGTGGAAAAACCGAACAACGTTTCGAATCATCATCATCGGTTATCATACAGTAAGGGTTCTATTATTTAATTGAACAAATGAGAAAACAAGGTTCTTAAATATTTTTGTCCATTTCGGCAAAACAATGCCCATATAGTGAATGTTGTCTAAGAATCATCATATCGATTAAATTGCCCATATAGTGAATGGCTAAGTATATGAAAACCAATCATATCGAATTTGATTTTCATAAATAATTGGGCCATTTCAATCGATTATTCTGTTTGTTTGGAAAACGAATCATTGAAAAAGGTAATTCATTTGAATTTGTTTTTGATTAAATCATCATCATATGTCTTATTTATTGATAATGATGATGATGATGATGATGATGATCATGTCACGTTTTTTTTACATTTCGTTCAAACACCAATCCACCAATTGATTGAACACCTCTATCTTGTAAATATCGTATCGATTGTAATGGTGAATTGATGATTTTTCGCTTAATTTTTATCCAACTTGGATTCCATTTATCAATTCATGGCTATTTAGTATATATGTAGTGTTACACTAGTATTTTGATACAGGTTTTTCTCGCCTATCTCGTCATATGTAATTCATCGAAAACCTGAAAATTTTTCGTTTTTAACTATTAATCCTTTATCAATGCCAAATAGTTGCTGCTGTTATATAGACCGATATATTAAAAATCTTTGAATTTTTTTCTTTCGATGATGATGACAGCTACACAAAGGTCAAGTTTATCGTACCATTGTAATGATGATGGTCAGGTATATATTTGAATTCAATTAAACAACCACCATCACAATATATCATTTATAATAATGTAGGGGTAGAAAAATCATTTATTTCATTATAATAATGATGATGATGATCATCATCATGAGAAGATTGAATTACAAACCACAAAGAAAAATATCAAGAATTCGTGATTTACCTGAAAATTTTTTATTTTCTCGTTTTTGTCCATCCATATTTGATAAATCCAGTGAAAAGAAACAAAACAAAAAAAAAAAGAAAAATGGTCAGTGAACTTTTGATCATCATCAATCGATTTATTTAACTTTTATTGTTTTTGATTGATTTGATTGAATGTAATAAGTGAAATAATCCTTTCGTATATATATATGAGATTGATGATGATTGAAGTGACCAAATTTAAATTGAACATTAATCAGGTTTTTGTCTTTACAGATTCTCACTGGTGACCGAATAAAATTCATGTATAATGTGACAACGAATGAACAGAAATTTTTATCCAAAATCATCATCATCATCATACATCGAAATGAAAATCGAAAGTCAAGTTCAAAGAAAAAAAAATGAACTAAACGCCAATAAAAACAAAACGAAACAAAAAATCCGAACGAACGATAAGCTCAAAAAAGCCATGAAGAGAGAGAGAGAGACTGGTTCTTCTCTCACTTTCGTCTTTTGCCAAGTTCATTATGATCTTATATAATTCTTGGCTGGTCATCATTTTTAGCCGGTCGTTTGTATTACGCCACATCACATCACATCACATCATTTCATTTCACTAAAAACGACGAAAAAGAAGAAAATCGGGAGTCATCATCATCATCATCATCCATGACTTTGTTATATACTCACATGTGATTTTTTCATTTAATTTTCATTTCAACAATTTCGAACAAAAAAAAGTCACTTGGTTAGTTTTTATTTTTGTTGTTGTTTTTGTTATAATTTCTAATGTTTATTAATGTTTTCTATATCATCGACCACACATTCTAAATTCATCATTTAGATTTTTTTTTGTTTTTGTTTTGTATCTCATTCACCGGTGATGATTGGCGCCAATAATCAAGAGTTTTTTTTTGTTATTTTTTTCAAGTAAGTTCAAGTGCGTTTCACTAGGTTGATTGGTCATTTGTTATCATTGTTTTTTTTGTTTTGTTTTTTCATCAGATAAATTCTGTTATGGTCATCCATTCCCTCATTTGAAACATATCGATATCTATTATGAACATTCGTTTTTTTCGGTTTTGGCGAAAAAAAAATTAATTATAGAATTTTGACTGATGAGAATAACGATGATGATGATGTGAAATTAACACTCGACTTGACTTTCATTTTATGAGATTATCATAAACAAAACACTGACCAATGATGACCACACGCCTTGAATCTGAATTTAATTAATGGGGAAAAAAAGAAAAGAAAAGAAAAATCATTTTCTGGCAGCATCATCTAGGTGAATAACAACAACAACAACAGTCATAAAATTCTTAATATTGAATTTTTTCATTTATTTGTAGTAAATCGGGCGTCCGAATACCGAATTTTTTTTCCAAAATGAAAAAAAAATTGTCAAACCATGTCCGATGTCAATGGCCATAAATGGGGAAAAAATGATGATCATCATAAAAAAATATACCTATGACCTGTTACTGCAATCAATGGTCATGTCAAATATGATGATCAACACTTTAAAAAAATTCTTTATGAATCGGACATCCGTTCAGGAAAAAGTTCATTTACATCCATCCACATGTATGTATCTTAAAATGTTAAGAATAAAAAATAATGATTTTTCATTGTGGTGTGGTGTTGGTGGTTACATCATCATGATCACCATTATCATCATCAATCTTCGACGATGGTTTCTAACCAATTCAAACGTCATAACCACACACACACACACAGCATGATAATAAGGACCAGAAAAAAAACTATTTGTTATGATGGCTTTTTTTTAATTTCATTTTTTTTTCATAACCACCTCCACCCTATTATCATCATCATCATCATCATCATCATCGCATATCAGGTATGTTCAATCTATTTTCTGTGTTTGTGTGGTTAGTTGGTTGGTAGATTATTAATTTTTTTTTTCATCCATTTATTCTAATTCAGCCAATGTTGAACCCGTTAATCACTTGAATGACGATCATATTTTTTTTGTTTTTTGTTTTGTTTTGTTGTGGCAATTTACCAATTGGTGTTAAACGGCATCATCATTTTTTTTCTGTGTGTATGCCGGTACATTGTTACATTATACTTTTTTTTATATACACACACAACACACACACATACCATCTTCTATCTTCTATTGTGGGTATATCGATTTTTTTTTATGTTTATGATTTTGGCGTCATCATCAGCATGTGTATGTGCCAACAACAACAACATGAATCCAGTTCACTAGGTTTTTTTTTGTCTGGTTTTTCTACTTTTGATTTTTTGTTCTTTCAATCAATATTTCAGGTAAGTTTTGTTATGTTGTTGTATTTTATGTTTTCTAAATAAATCTTGTCCATTTTGTTTTGTTTTTTTTTTTTTTATTTAGAATCATCAACCCCATGAATCGTTTTTGGTTATATCTAATTGTTACATGATTGTGTGGTGATTTATTTACTTGGCTAATCAAGAAAAAAACTACTGATATGACAGATAAATAGACAAAATCAAATCAATTGTAAAGCAAACCTGTATGTGTGTCTGTGTGTGTATTTATTTGTGGATTTACTTGGATTTAATAATTTCATTCCATTACAGATATTTGTATCTACCTGTTCGATTAATGATTAACCCATTCTATCAGGCATATATAAATTGTTTAAAGTATGTAATAATAATAACAACAAGATTACGGAATGAATGAATTGGTCATCATCATCATTCACACATACACGATACAATGTATTGTATGGTAATTTTCAACAACCATTTACACCGAGATGGTTATCATCAGATCAACACATGCATTTTGTATTTCAATATCATAAATGGATCTAATTTTCATTGGCAATTCAAATAGTTTGGTGGTAATGTATATATATTAATATTAACATGAATATATCTGATCTAACAAATTTAATTCATACTAGATCATCATCTGAATTGCTCAATTCAATAGATATATAGGTAGTGAAACCATCAATAATACAATTTTTATGGAAAGCACGGAAATTTTCGTTTTTTTTCAAGTGTGAACATAATAATAATTGGCCATCCCATTCACAAACCCTCTATACAATTATATGGATGGATTATTTATTTATTTATTCGGTGTTGATCTATATCTGTGTTTTTTGTATGTGATCGACACGGTTGATTGATTTAACTATATCTTTGGCCATCTCTATAGGTCGATTTTTTTGTATTGTGGTCAAAATATATCGTTGGCCCGATGATGGTGGTGGTGGTGATGGGAAAAGAATAATAACATTTTTTTCTGGAGATAATTGTCCACGGTAAGTAAATGGTTTAACTGATGAATTATTTGATGAAAATCTCATGTCAACCGTTTCTTTCCACACACTAATAGGAATAGAATGTATCGAAATGTCATACGTATTGGGATTGTTTTTTATTATTTTCTACGATCCTGAAACTGTCATCATTGCTTCACATGGGAAAAATTTTTTTTTGGTCACAAATATCGATTTTAATGATGAGCAAAGCTGTCAATCGTCTTTTTTTTGGTTCTATTGATGTGATCATATGGACAAGGCAAGCCGTTTGGTTTTTGCGAGTTGGTCATCATTTGTTGTTGTTGTTGTGGAATCAAATACATCTGTCTATCGAATGCCAAATTGCATACACACACAAACACATCGTCGTAAATGATTGTTTTTGCGACAATTTGGTCGTTAATCTCTATTTTTCTGTTTTTGTCTGTGTGTATGTTCGACAAGGTAGGTATTTATTGTAATAAAATAAACCTGCATGTATAGAGATTAACCTTTGAACTTTTGTTTGTTTTAATTTTTTTTTTCTAATATTATCATCAGTGGCGGCAAAACTAAAATTTTCTCGTTTATGAATCATCATGAAATTGAAGATTTGAATAATGTCACCTTTTTCAATGTATCGATTATTTTGCTTCCGCATAACAAAAAATCTTTCATTTACATGTTGGCCATTACATAATGTCTGTTTGTTTGTCTTTCATTCCATACATTTGTGTGTTTTTATTGCGAATTCCGTTGCTTATAATTGATAAATCAGTTGTTTAGCACTGACACTTGTTGACACACATATATCATGTACAATGGTAAGGCCCATTTGAATTTTTGTTTTGTTTTCGTTGTCTGATGTTGATCAGCTAAGTGATTCATTTCTTCACTGTATACCATTCATCAATCAATACATTGATGATGATTGTATAAGGGCAAATGACCCCGTTTGTGACTTTGATCAAGTTATCCTAATTTGATCAATTTAATTATTCAAAACAAAATAGAAACAACAAAAAAATCTTTCCCTTCAACAACAACATCGACAACAACAACAACAACAATGATGATGATGATGATTCGAGAATTCCAAAACAAATGAAAATAACATTATTGGCCAAATTATTGAAAAGAATGGCGCCATGGATTCATTATTTTTATTGGAATTTGACCCTTATTCAGTTCTTTTTTTTCATATATTGTGCCGATCAAATTCTCAAACAACAACAACAACAACAAAAAACTATAGCTGTATGCGTGCATTGGTCATTGAAATCGAAAACTACATTTGTTTTCTCAATGTTTTTTTTTCGTGAATGTGTGTGTGTGTGTGAACCAGAAAAAAAACTTTTCAATGGATTGTAAAAGTTCATTGACTGAAACAGGAACACTACATACATACATACATACCACCAGAGTGCCATAAATCTAGATCTAGTTAGTATTATAAGGTTGAGGTCGAGATCATATCACATTGCATAACATTACATTCTTTAGTCGACCGACTTATATATATGAACCGATATTTTTGTGTCTGGTCAAAGTCTAGTTTGCCTATTATGTTTTTTTTTCATTGAATAAAAATTCTGAAAACTTTTGAGAAAATAACACCTGCTTTCTTCGTTTTTTTTTTCTTCCATTTCTCTTTAGGTTATGCTAATGGTTGCCGTTAACATGGATGAACGGCTCTTGGATGAGTTTTTTATATGAAGATTCAACCATCCACGTCTGTTGGTGTGACCATCATCATCATTATGATGAATGGATAATGCTTGGCCATGAAATGGGAAAATAAAAACAAAAGGAAATTAGGCCCATTAGGCACAATCAATCAATTATGATGTGTGTCTAACATCATTATTGGTTATGATGAACATATTCAGATCCATGAATATCCATCGATGTTGATGCGATGTGTAAGATTATGTGACTTTCACTGTTTCCTATTTTTAAATTGACTTTTAATTTGAAATTTTTGTTTTTTTTTCATGCAACAGGTTACATATATTAACCCTATGTGGGAGTGTATTTTATTTTGCGTTTGGAATGTGTTTATCTTTTTATTCTATCACACGCATCGATTTTATCCAGGCATGAATCCTGTTTTGATGAAGAAAAAAAATAAATTTATGCATATACCATGAATTATGAACCAATGATCATTTGCATCACATCGAATCGTTTATGGAAAGAAATGGCCATCTATATGATTCAATTTACACCCACCCACACACACACACACAGATGGTTTTTTTTACCTGGATCTTTTTTGACTACAAAATGTCATGAATTACGTGCACTATCTTATGGATCGGTGGATTTCTTTCCACAACCACCACAAGCAGCTAATCTCTCCCACACATGCTGAGATCATTGACAAGATCTTAACGTTTAGTGTGTTGTGGATGAAAAGAATTTTTTCGTATTGCTTTCCAATCATCATCATCATTATCATCATCGTCATCATCGTCAAAATTCAAGATTTGACTAAATGATGATGAAATTTGCAAATCAAATTACCATGAAGACGAAAAATGTTTTTTTTTTTGGCTGAAAACAAAAAATTTTTTTTTGCTTCCTGTACAAATCGTTTTGTTTCGCATTTTAATCATCATCATCGTCGTCATCATCATCATCATCGACGCTTCGTTACAATACATAAAAACATCATTAGATTATATATAGAGATAGATAGAAAACAGAAAAAATAGTCTCGGGTCACCATCAACCAAAATAACGTACAACACACAGATAGCAACAACAACAACAACAACAACTCGATAAATAGACATAGACAAACTATCTCTTTCTTGTTTTTCACAAAAAAAAAATTTTTGATAATGTCAGCTCTTAAGTTTGAGTTTTTCTTTCTATTTCACTTTTACATTTTATCATTAACCATAATCTAATATGTGGTGTTTGATAGTTGGTTGCAATTTTTTTTTTTTTTTTTTTTTTTTGGTTTATTGCTCAAAATTATTGTCAAAACACCACATGCATTTATTTATCATATCTAGCTATTTATTTATTATATTGTATTCGTGTAGACTTTAGTTTTAGTGGTAGAAAAAAAAAGAATATCCAAAGATAGAATCAACATCAACATCGAAGAAGAAGAAGAAGAAAAAAAAGAAATAAAATCTCAACAATTTATTGGCGTCGTCGTCGTCGTCGTCATAGTTGTAAACAAAAGATGATGATGATGATCATAAATGATTATGGTTGCCATATATCATCATATCACATTGTTGATGATTATGATAATGAGCATCAAGAATATAAGACAAATATTCCTTTTGTTGTAATCAGTAACGGTGACTGGGTTATATATATATTTTTTTTTACCCGATTATTATTGTTATTATTACCGGTACATTTCCATAGTAATTGTTTTTCGATTATGATGGTGATGATGAAATATATTTTGACAAATGAGATGAATTCTTTGACGAAAACTGGAACGATATACTATCGACCAGCCAGCCAACATTGGGCCACAACAACAAAAACTTGTAGAATGTTTGATGATGATGATGATTCGATTGCATCGATCATCAAATTATTTTTTTCTCTCTAGAATGTTGTAAACATCATACGGAATTTCCTGAAAAATCGTGGTGATTTCTTCAACAAATTTATTAAAATTGTCAATCAGATTAAACTTGAAACTGGTAATAATGTATTGTGTATTCGTAGTGATCGTGGCTGAAATTTTCATCGAATAAATTTCGTGAAAATGTTCAACAAAAGGCAAACGTCAACAATCTTATTGTTTTGGTAGCTATGGTAAAGCATTGAATGATGATAAAGTTGGCAAATTTGAATCAAAAAAAATGAAAATGAAAGTAACAAATGAGCCACTAACGTTTTGATGATGCTGTAGATTCAGAAGAATCTATGAAGTGTCAGCTATGACAAATGAGATGTGATTTTTCGATCCACCGAATAACAATCCTGTTTTACATCAAAATGGATTTATCGTATCAAAAGCGATGGGCGTTGAGTCGCTCGTGGTTTTTAATGTTGATTATTTTGCTACATATGCCGGTTATTTCGTTTTTGGGATGGTTCTTTTAGTATTGTGGCATCATATGACATGGAATTATTGCAATTTGATTTCACTACTGCATTCTTAAATGGTCTTCTAAAAGAAGATATTTTCATGTATCAACCATGTGGCTATGATGATGGATCTGGTCGAGTGTGGAAATTGAATCGTGGTCTTTACGGATTGAAGCAAGCACCACGTGCCTGGAATGAACGATTTCATAGTGCAATTACTGAATTTGGTTTTGTGAATTGTGCATTGGATAATTGTTTGTATTTTAAACGTATCGAAAATCGATTGATTCTACTCATCCTGTATGTTGATGATGGTTTTGTAGCATCAATTAACAAAGTAGATTTATTGACCGTTTATGGTTTTCTGAAATCCAAATTCAAAATTAATATCGTAAATGATTGCACTTTTCTTGGCATTAAATATGTACGAAATCGTACTGAGAAGATAATCTATTTGGATCAATCGAAATATATCAAGCAAAAATTGGATCAATTTGGGTTATCAAATTGTAAATCTGTACCATCACCAATTGTTTCTGGATCTTTAAATGAAACTTTTTCAGATGTAATTGAAAACTATCCATATCGTCAGGCAGTCGGAAGTCTACTATATGTGGCAGTGAAGACTAGACCGGATATTTTATTTGCTGTTTCTTATTGTAGCAAATTTTTGGAAAAGCCAAATAGTACAACAATTAAAATTGTCAAACGTATTTTTCGTTATTTAAAAGGTACTATTGATTATAAGCTAAAATTTGGTGGTTCTTCATCTTTATCGTTCCGTGCTTATTCCGATGCTGATCTTGGTGGTGATCGAGAAAATCGTAAATCTACAACTGGTTATTTGGTCTGGTTAAATGGACCAATTATATGGAAATCGAAACAACAACGATGTGTTGTAGATAACACCTGTGAAAGTGAATTTATTGCTGCTGCTCAATGTTGTAAAGATGTGAAATTTGTAAAGAACATTTGTTCTATTGTCAACATTGAAATTAATGTACCAACATTGTTTATGTTATTATTACCGGTACATTTCCATAGTAATTGTTTTTCGATTATGATGGTGATGATGAAATATATTTTGTTGACGAAAACTGGAACGATATACTATCGACCAACCAGCCAACAACAACAACAACAAAAACTTGTAGAATGTTTGATGATGATGATGATTCGATTGCAATCTATTTTTTTTTCTCTCTAGAATGTGTGTAAACATGGCAAAAAAAAAAAAATGAAAATGAGTAACAATTGTTTGTCCATTCGATGAGGATATAAAAAAAAATCCAATTGTTTTGTAATTTTGTTTATCAATATACCTGATAACTGTCTCCGATATCGCGGATCCTTATTATTTTGTTGTTGTTGTTGTTTTTTTTGTCATTGATAGTAATTTGATTATGATGATGATGATGATTGATTGATTGATTGAAATAAAAAAGGATCCAAATCGAATGAATGAGGGTTCGATTTATATATATTTTTTTATCCCACAATATTTACAAATCAATTGAATTTTCATTTAGATTATCATTATCATCATCATCAAATTGATATCATCATTTGATGATGATAACCATGTCATGTCTTGTTTGTTTACATTGTCAACGTGATGATGATGATGATGATGTTGTTGTTGTTTACCCAGGCTAGCCGTCAATGTTGTAACAAATAATAAACCAGAAGAAAAAAAAACAATCATATCAATTCCATAATTGGGAATGGAATTCTTTCCAATATTCCACCATCGATTGTGTACGGGGACAACTTTTTTTTTGGTAAAAAAATTCATTCATTCATTTAAATTCAAAAACAAAAAGAAAAATGAAAACGAAAATTTGTTCAATCAACCGACTATTAGTGTGTGTGCGTATGTTGTTTTGGTATTGATGATTTGCGTGACTTTTACCTAACACACGCAGAACTTTTAAATTTTGCTCCATGTTTGTTTGTTGATTCAAACAACCATTTGAACCCTACGGCCATGATGCTGATGATGATGATGATGATGATGGCCAGGTGACATTGACTATACACACACACACACACACACACACACAAAGGTCAATTCGAATGACAATTGTTTGTCGTTGTTAGGTCGATTGTTCGTTGTTTTGTCCAAAACGAAAAACAAAACATCCATAGCTATTGTCAATGAAATTTTGTTTTTATTATAATAGTAGTCATCATTTATAATAATTATCATTTTGTTATAAAAATGAATGAATTCAATATCGATTCATTTTCTGGTTGAAAAAAGAAAAACAAATTTTCAATTTAAATTTTTTTTTTCTTTCTTCTTTCTGGTAAATGAATTGTATGCATGCAGGTGGCTTGTTTGTGATATTCGGGATTTGTTCGCCAATTGGCACCCTATGTATCTGGTGATGGCGTGTGTGTTTGTGTTTTTTTTTGGTGATGTCAATTAGTGGCTATCCTAGAAAGATGTTGTGGTATCTCGAGTATAATCGATGGATCGATCCAGTAAGTTTGCCAGGTGGTGAAAAAAAATGGGCCCGAAAAAAAATGATTCAAATAACCATAGCCAAATTTGTTATTCATAAATTGAGTGAAAATTTCTGATTGAAAAAAAAAATTCAAATGAAAGAAAAAAAAATATATAAATAAACAAATCGGACAAATGTAAAACAAACGAATTTTTACAAACAAGCTTTCTATATATCTTTTTATCTTTATTACCCTTAAACAAACAAACAAGTGACAATAACCGCTTTACGGATCAGATTGATGATTTTTTTTCTGTTTTGTTTTGTTTTGTTTTGATAATTGATAATTGATAATCGATGAGCGCCAATAATTTTATGATTGATTAAAGAATTTTTCATATAATCAGGATCAATGTTCACAATCGATTATTACTATCGATATCGAATTACACACACACACACAGAGAGACAGACAGACATCGATTGTATGTTTGAATTTATTTATTCGAATCAAAATCATTCACTCAAATCAGTGATATATCAAAAATTTTTTTTCTCCGAAAAAAAATCCATTTGTTTAATTTATTAGTCAGACGGCTTAGAAAATAAAAAATTTTTTTCTCTTCCAAACATCAAAACAAAAGATGTGTATGTGTGATTGTAAAATCAAAGTATCAAACGCATTTCGTTCATTCACTTGATATAATCAACAACAACAACGACGACAACAACATATGCAGACTGCGTGTTTGACAATTTTTTTTTTTTTTTGATAATTGAAATGAGAAATAAAATTTCCAAATAAACAACAAAAAAAATTGTTTCGAAATTTGAAACATTCATTCATCTTCCAATCAATCATTCATTCATCGAAATCGACCGTTTTGGCCTACTTTTTTTAATGCTACTCTCGCATATATGGAATTTGTTGTTGTTGTTGTTGTTGTTGATATGGTGGAACAAATCTTATCTTCTTTATTGAAAAAGAGAAAATAAAAAAAAAATTTGATACAATGTTACACATACAGAGTAAGAGACAGACATTGTGTGTGTGATTATCCTTTTTTTTCTTTTGACGGGAAAATCACTTTTTTTTCATCATCATCATCATCATCATCATCAAATCTAATCGAATAGGATCAATGTTCGTTATGTTTAATCAGATGATTTTGATGAGATCGATGATCTCACTATTGAGATCTGTGACCTATGAATGGACATATAATGTGTATTGAATAATAGAATCATTAAATCAAATTCCGGGAATAGAATAATATTTTGTATCTATGATTGAAAAAAGATCGAATCATTAATAATTGTCATCATTTTGTTGTTGTTGTTGTCAATGAACCGATTGTCAAACATTGTATCACAATGATTATGATGATGATCATCATCACCATTATCATCATCCATTTTGAAGATTTATTAATTGAATGATCATGATGACATGGTAGGATTTTTTTTTTTGAAAAAAAATTCACTTCTTTGTGCTTCATTCAAAGTTCATCGTCATTCATAATAATAATAATAAGCACAGATGATTATGATGATGATGATGATGATGGTAAACAACAACAATCAGTGAGAAAAATTGAGTGAAAAAAAAAATAAATTCGATATGCAAGATATCAAAAGACATGAATTTTTTTTTTTTTTGGTTCGTTCGTTCGTTCGTTTGTTCATTTGTTTGTTTGGATTATAATAGACATTTTGTTTTAATTTTCTGGATCATTTTTTTCTGCCCAGCAAGAGAAAAAAAAATTGGGTCGATCAACGTCTGCTGATGTTCTATGTTTATGTTGGAAATTTCGATTGCTTTGATGATGGAAATTATTTTTTTTTTTTTTTTTGGTTGATCATCCGCATTTTTTTCCCATTATTGTTATCATCAATAATGAACGAGGCCGTTTTTTTTTTGGTGGATTCTTGGGTTTTTTGATGATTTCCGACTTCGATGATTGGAAATTTATGTGGACAATTAATTCATTCGTTTTATTGCTGACTCGAGGTATTTTGATTGTTCTTCATTTGTTGCTGCTTTACAGAAAATTGTAACTGTTCAGTTTTGTGATTTATATCCAGGAAATTCAAATGTATCCATTTCATATCCAATTGATTATTATGATTAGGATGATTATGTGAATGGATAAACATAATCATTATATTATATACATTTTTAATGTTGATAAGAGCAAGAAAAAAATTTGGTCGTTTCTTTTTTTGAGAATGGAAATATGAAACTTTGTTTTTAAATTCATTCATGTCGGTATTGTGTCGTTGTGTGTTAATTCACATCCAGTTAGAATGACTACCGATATGTTTTTTTTACTCCATTTTTCCATTGATAACACACGATTAGACTAGTTTGAAAGGGATGAAAAAAAAAAACAAACAGAAAAAATTAAATAATTTGTACCCAAAATGAAAAAAAAATTGTACCCAAGAAAAAAAACATCCATCCATTATCTATAAAGTAAGAAAGTGAAAGCGTAAATTTTTTGTTTTTTTTTCACCTTACCCAAGTGGATAATTATTGACCATGGTAATCAGATTTTCTCACACACAAACAATAATGATGATGATGATGATGATCAACCACACTCGAGATTGACCGTTGGTGTTCAGCGAAGCTTGATTCCCTTTGAATTTTTTTCTCTGCTGTCTTTAACCGCACGCAAATGACAATATTTGAAGACATCCGATGGTAATTGATCATACAATTCATCAGGATGATGAGGAAAGTGGAAAAAAATTTAATTCGATTTGATGATTCGAAAATGAAAACAAAACAAAAAACTGCGCCATCTTTCGGCATGACGGCGATAATTTTTTTTTAGTTTAGAAAGCAAAAAAACAATTCCCACGGTTCTAAATTTTTTATGAAGAAAAATAATAATTTTTCTCATGAAAAAAATTTATGAAATAATCGAAAGGATTGACAATGTTGTCTGGTGTACCGTTATACGATGATAATTAATCAATTAATCATTGAATGTATCCATTTCCAAGTTTGATATATCAATCAAAGTATGAATCATAGCGATATGAAAATCGAATCGAAAAAAATGTTCGAATGTTCAAAGTCTAATGAGTTAATCATCATCGTCATATCGATTCCGGTTCAACTTTCATGATTGATACAAGATGATTCGATTTTAAAATGAACAAATAAAAACGTTGCTTTTGACCATGAAACATCGGTGATTTCTGCTCATGATAATTTCCATTACATCATGAATTATAATGTAAATGATGATTCAATCAATTTTTTTTCAATCTAAACAAATTCAATGTTTTTGTTTTCATTTTGAAACAAAAAATATTTCAAATTTTCGCCGTATTTTAATGATTTTTTCTATCATCAATGATTAATTTTCAATGCTGAAAAAAAAAAAAATTTTAAACGTGTTTGGAATGTGGCTAAAAGCTATATATATAATCTAACCATAAACGATGATTAGTCCCATCATTGTTTTGATAATCAAATCATCAACTAAATTTATTATTCATGCAAAATGAAAATCCGTATTATTTCATCGATAATTTTGGTGGCCATCATTTTGATCCAATGTTTCGATTCAAATGAATCGGCCAGTTTATATCAACCATATGATTTGGGTCATTTGATGGTAAGACTCCAACCATTGTTTATATTTTGTATTTTAATTCCATTTTTTTTTGTGATTACAGGATTTGTTTGACGATTTCGTTGCAGAATGTGATCAAAAATCTGAATCACAGATTTTTGATATTTGTAATGAGGCATTAAATACAATGATAATGGATTGGAATAAAATTCCATTGAATATTAAACGTAATGCCATTCAAGAATGCAAAGATACATATTTATATGTGTGTCATTCAGAACGACGACGACGATGATTAATTGATTGATTCGTAATTGATTTTTTCCAATCAATTTATTTCCATTTTTCAATTCATTTCAATTTGAATTTGAATTAAATAAAAATCCATTTATTATTTTCTTTTATTAAACATTTGTAGAGTTAAATTATTTATCAATATTTTGAAACATAACAATAGCATCAATAACGGATATATAGCAATCATAACGGCTAAATTTGTTGAAAAATTTAAATTTCTCCAGATTTTCATAAACCAATTGTGAACAGGATGCTAATGATAATTGGCCATTATATTTCTTCAGTAAATCATTCGTTTCCAATAAAGCTTCAACACCTTTTGCATCAATATAAGCCATACGACTACAATCCAATAATATTCGATATGGTTGAAATTTTGTGGTCGTTGTTGATTTGATGTTTGATTCTAAATTATTGATTGTGGAAAATTTTTCTTGTGCAGAAGCAATAGCAGCAGTAATGCGTTGTTCTCTTTCAAATAATTCGACAACAAAACGACCAATCATTGAATAGAAACGAGTACGAAAATACAATGCATTAATGAACATTAATGGACCTTGAAATTCTAAAACAATCGTACGATTCTCTCGATTTAGACAATGAAAAAAACGTTCACGTTCATGATCAAATTGTGAGTTTCGGATTTCCAAGAATATTTCCGTTTCACCTTGACGATATTTCAATTTCAGTGTTGGTCTATTGTTGTAATGAAAAATTTTAATTAACAAAAATATCAGGAATGTTGAATCGATAACTTACTTGATTAATTTAATAATCAATATGACAAAGGAGAATAAAATCGAATAAAGAAGGCCATTATCAACGCCAAACAATATGACGAATAGGAATGTAACAATCCATAGAATACCATCTAATTTTGAGATTTTCCATGCTTCTTTCAATTCACGTATACGTCTTATTGTGGAAAAAATGGCCACCGTAATAATGGCTGATAGTACACACTATTGTTTTTTTGGAAAAAAAATTGAATCAAACTAGAATAAATCATGGACAACAATACATACTTTGGGCAATGTACGTAGATATGTTGAAAGTAATGATAAAATGATGACCATCAATATAGATGATATTATACTAACTAGCTGTGTACGGCCACCAACACGTTCTTGTACAGCTGAACGTGATAATGATGCACAGCATGGAAAACAAAGAAAGAATGATGAAAAAACATTGGCTGCACCTAATGCTATCAATTCTTGATTGGGATTTATTTTGTAGCCATATTTTTTGCCATACATTTTACCCAATGATAATGTTATCAAATAGGATATCAAACAAATCAACAATGCATTCGGTATCATTTTTATCATTAGTTTTGTACCCGGAATTCTGGGCATTCCTGTAAATCTATTAGGAAAAAAAATTAAATCATCATTAGTTTTATATACATATACATGTATAAAATGATTATTATTCATATCAATCAATGTTATTTACCCAACTGGTATGTTTGGAATGATGTTTACATTATAATTGCCATTAAAATCAAACAGATATGATAATAGTGTTATAATAATGACCAAAGTAATATCAATAGGAATAGTGATCGATTTAAACCGAAATCGTTTCATTATAAATGGTTCGAGTAAATATTTGCATCCAATTAAAAGTGCAACAGAAATTATTGAAACAAACATTGTGACAATGTTGGTTTGATGAATACGGCTAAAAAATGAAATGTATGCCTATATGACAGCAGGATGAAAAAAAATAAAATTCCATCATCAGTCAACAACAACAATTATTACATTAACTATATCCATAGGTAACGGTATTTGATAATCATCATCATGTTTTGATTCAATACCGATAAAATCGAAAATTTGATTGGTAAAAACATGAACAGCACTGCCAACAATAAATGCCGATATTAATGTATCCGATAAAATAATCGATAGGATGCCTAATCGAAATATACCTAGAATGAGCTATAAGAGAAAAAAAATTGAAGATGAATTCATAGATCAGAATAATATAAAAAAAATATACCTGAATAATGCCAACAAGTAAACATAATGTAATCAATATTTCGATTGGTTCATATTGTTGTTGTCCTTGTATATCATTTTCTTCGTTTTCAAGTTGAATACCTTCAATAACATCTTTACAGGCAATTGAAATGACTGAAAATGTACCAATAGAAATATGATGTGATGTACCGAATATAGCGTACATTAATAATGGAAATAATGATACGTATAGGCCATTGATTGGACCAACACCGGCTAGATGACCATATGCAAGTCCCTGTGGAATATTCAATGCCAAAACGGTTGTGCCAGAAATCACATCGGGTATAATGTCATTTTTCCAACGATAATTTGGTAGCCATTTAAGAATCGGTACGAATCCACACAACAATGAACGTATGTTTAAACGATATTTTTGTTTATGAAAAAATTTTCGTATTGATTCAATATATTCTGATTTACTAGAATGATTGTGATGATTCGTTTTACCTGCATTAGGATAGAAATCTTGACAATAGGCTATTGATCGTGTAATGAGAATATCATTAACATGATTAGTAGCCATTGATGAAACAGATGATTGAAATGATTGTAAATCATCACCATTATTATTCATTGGTTCATTCGTTGTTTCGAATGTATTATGATTAGCCATTACGTATTGTTTTTTTTTTTGTCACACCAGAATGAATACCTATTGAGAATTAATTTGAACACAAAAAAAATTCATTTAATAATTTTATTGAAAGAAAATAAATGTAACAAAATTAATTTTATCACATTACATTTTATAACCATTATTACTACAGTCAATGATGATGATGATGATGATGATGATAAAATTTATTATACACATTACATACATTTATGATTAAGAATGATGATGATGATGAAGAGGTAAAGAAATTTAATTTTTATTATTATTATGATGATTATTCAATGAACAAAGTTCACAGTTTATATTAACTTATACGACGATTATGATAATGATGGATGATAACTGATCGTGGACGGTAAATTTTTTTTTTATTTTTTATTTTTATTATTTCGAATCAAACCATCAATTAAAAATATGAAATCGAATGATATTGCCATCTGGTGAATTGTTACAAAACATCAACAATGGATGGCGCTGTTTGTGGCCATAATCGGCACATATTGTCTGTTAACAACAACAACAACAACAGCAGCAGCAGCAAAACGAAATTCTTTTTTTTTTTTTTTTTTTTTATTCGATGATCCCAAATCGATTGATGTTGCAATATTCTTTGTGTGTGTTTGAAATAAAATCATCATCATTGTTAGACAATCATTTTTGTTGTTGTTGTTGTTGTTGTTGTTATTTTCGTAACAATAATTCATCCAGCATCATTATCATTCGATAAAGTTCAATGTCGATTATTTTATTTTCGTTGTTGTGAAGATAATGATTAAAAATGGCATATATATTGTCATTGTCAATGTTTCAGAAATCAAATCAAAATTTTTTTTTGTTATTCATCCATTGTAACGAAACAACGAAAAAAAAACTCTAAAAACGCATTAACAAAATTTACAAGTGAACAAAAAGAAAATGGAACAAAATCTAAATAAAGAAAAATTGTCTGAATGAATTTGTCACATTATCGACACTTTTCACACTCTCTGAGTGTCTGGATCGTTCCAAAAATTCGAGTATATAAATGTACCTTTGGACATTTTCGTTGGACCATTTTTCATCCATTTTTAAGAAAAAAAAAAACAAACGAACGAACGAACGAAAAAAATCTTTGATCATCATGCAATGGTTTGAATTATCATCATCATTATTAATTGTGATCATCATTGTATCATCATGTATTGTTAATGTTCATTGTGGTGGTAGTAGTGGTGGTGGTCGTCGTAATGGATCTCGTCGTAAAGGTGGTGGTTCACGTCACAATGGTGGTTTAAGAAACGGAAATGGTGGCCATGGATCTTATGCTGCTGCTAGTGAATCTTATAATAATAATGGCGGTGGTGGTGGTGGTGGTGGATTCAATAATCAATATGCAGGTGGTGGTGGTGATCTTGGTAAATTTAATAATCGATATGCAGGTGGTGGTAATCAAAATGGTGATTTTTTTGATGGACAAATTCGTGAAAGTTTCAGCGGTTCTCGTGGTGGTGGTATTATTAATGCCGCCGTTTTTTCCAAACAAACATTCGAAACAAAACCAGTGGAAACACCATTCGAACAGATGGAACCACAAATAATCGAAATTGAAGGTGGTGATTTACCAATCGAAATTCATTTTAAATCAACATCTAGTCGTGTTAAAGTTCGTCAAGATCATCAATTATCTGGTGTTAATATGCCTGAATATGATCAATATGAAGAAGAACCACATCGATTGATTACCGAGGTTCGAAAACCAATTATTCAGGTATGTTTTTTTTGGGATTCTGTTTTTTTTTCACTGAAAATTGTTTGGTTGTTATAAATTATAGGAAGTTAGAGAGATCATTGCACCATATAGAAAAGTTATTCAAGAAATTGAGCCTGTTATGGAAGAAATTCATACGGTAGTTTCACAAGGTCAAGGACGACGCGATGGTGGTGGTGGTGGTGGTGGTGGTTATAGTAATGGGGGTAATATGAACGGTGGTAATTACGGTGGTGGAAATATGGCTGATGGCAATTATAACGGGCGAAATACTGGTGGTGGTGGTGGTGGAAATATGTTCGCTGGTCATAGCGGTGGTGGTAATTACAATGGAGGAAATATGGGTGGTGGTGGTGGTGAAAATATAGCTAGCTCACATGGTGGTGGTGGTGGTAATTACAATGGAGGAAATATGGGTGGTGGTAGTAGTGGTGGATTCGGTTTTCCAGGTTTTAATGGCCAACAGCAGCAAAAAGTTTATAAGAAAAATAAATGAAAAAAAACTCCATCGTGATTGATCTTTTATCAAAAAAAAAAAAAAAAAAAATCATTCAACCAGTTCCATATCAGATTTATCCAAAAACAAAAATCCAATTCTTCAATTTCAATATTTCCAAATGTTTGCCATTTACAGCAACAACAACAACAACAACAACAACAAAAATTTTATTGTGATTCAAATCATTGACAAAAAAAAAATTTCGGGAAGCATAGAAATTAAGTAAAAAGTATTACACATTGAATCTAACTTTAAACTGTGCCGTTACTTTTTGAACAAAAAACCGAGATGTGTTTGAATTTCCATTCACCAAATGATGATGTTGACGATGATGATGATGACAATTCATCATTATATGATCATCATCACATGGTGTACAAACGAGTGAGAACAACAACAACAACAACAACAACAACAAAAATATTTGATTTGATCATTATCCTAAATAAATGTGGAAAAAATCAAATTTCAAAAAATTTTTTTTTCTGGAACCAAACAACAACAACAACAAAATGTCAAGGACATTTCAATAATAACAACAACAACAACAACAACAACAACAATGTTACATTATCATAAAAAAATGAAGAAATCTGATATCATCATCATCATCATCAAAAGACGTTGAGTATGAAATGTTTTTTTTTTTTTTTTTTTTTTTTGAAAGATGATGAATTTTTGAATTGAAATTCAAATTTTTTTTTTTACCATTGTGTAAAAAAAAATCTTGTTGTTTTTTTCATATTCATCCACCATTATTTCAATTCTATTTCCTGTGTGTGTGTGTGTGCAATATAAAGTTGTCAAATGGAAATCATCATTGAAAGGTCACCAATAAAGGATGGAGAATGCAATATTGATTGATATAAATGTTGCATCGTTTCCGGTTATTTTTTTTTATTTTTTCTTGTTTTATTGAAATTATTATTTAACTAATAGACTAATGGGGATGAATTGATTGATTCTAAATTGATGAATTCTTTTTTTGTTTCTGTTTTTTTGGTTAGAAAAAACGTTGACATAATGCTTTCCGTATGGAACCAGGCCGTGTTTGATGTTGTTCGATTAATTGTTCCATTTTTTTTGCTGTCTAAAGTGGATGAAAGATGAAGGAGAAAAAAAATTTGTTTTGTTTGTAAATCTAAATTGAAATTACAAATTGAAATTAATATATGTAATTACCAATTGAGCAATTTCCGTTATCGTCATTTCCGGTGTAAAATGTATTGGTTCACCAATAAAAGTGGTCAATTTGACCGGTAAACCACCGTATGGTATGAATAAGAATGGAAATTTATAACGATCATATATTAAACGACATAACCATTTTGGTATGATTGATAATAAACGAAATGATTCACGTGAATTCTGTGTGAATACCGGTATTATTGGTACATTGGTTTGTTTGGCTATGCGTGCAAAACCATGACGATTATTCCAGATTAGTTGATAATTTTCATCACTAAACATGGCTATCGAAAATTTTAGAGAAAAAAAAATCACAAAAAAAAACAAACCACAAACAATCCACAAACCTTCACGCAAACCACCAGGTGATAATGCCAATAAATTACCACGATTTATAATGTTCACACAATCATCAACGGAACCAGGTATTAATCGTAAAACATTCAACATTAATGACCAACTTGGTATACGATATATAATACGTTCAATAATGGTGAAAAATGTACGTTTATGTTTTAAAAATAACAATGCCATAAGATAATAAAAATCATTAGGAAATGTTGAATGATAGAAAACAATAATGGCCGGATCTTTGGCCGGTATATTCTCTAAACCAATCACATTATAACCATGCCATATGTAGCCAATATGGCTGATAATTTCTAAAATTTGTAAAATGAAAATTAAAAAAAAAATTGCAACAAACTAAAATTTCAAAATCACTAAACACACTTACTGGCAAACAATTCAACTGGTTTATGCCAACGTTTGAAATGTTCATCATCATCAACATCATCGTTTTTATCATCGTATGGAATATTATTATAGATACGATGTATATGTAATATAATATTACCAATATAAAATATTACTACATAGATGAATGGCGCAATCAATATGAATATTGATAATGAAATGATTATCGTCCATAATATGGTCAATAATGGTGATGATGATGATGATGATGATGATGATAAAATGAATGGAAAATGATCGGAAAAATTTAAATCATGAATAAATGAAATCAATCATGAATATTGATAATGAAATGATTATCGTCCATAATATGGTCAATAATGGTGATGATGATGATGATGATGATGATGATAAAATGAATGGAAAATGATCGGAAAAATTTAAATCATGAATAAATGAAAAAATGACCGTTGAATTGCAATAATTTTCCATTGTGTGTGTGTGTGTGTGTGTGTTTTGTTGAACATTCACATAAAGACAAACAGAAAAAAAAATAAAATAAACCAGCATTTCATTTCGTATTGACAAAATGATGATTGAAATTTTTGTTTGTTTTTTTTTATTGAACTGAAAAAAAAATTTTCGTTTTAGTTTGATTAAATTAATTATTGATTTCTGTCTGTCTGTCTGTTTTATCACCGGAAATATGTGTATCTGTGTGTGTGTGTTTTTTCCTTCCGAATTTTTTTTATTTTTATTTTTTACTTCTATTTGAACATTTCGTTACAAAGTTTTCCTAGTTGTTATCTATTGGTGAAATATTGATCTGATTTTGATTTTGGTGGTGGATATTTATTCATTTATTTCAGTGAACAAAAACGTTGCCACAACGCTTTGCGTATAGAACCTGGTCGTGTTTGATAACGATCGATTAATTGTTCCATTTTTTTTGCTGTCTAAAATTTAACAAGATAAACACGAGATGAAAAAAAAATTGAAAATCACCATATAATTACCAAATCAGCAATTTCTGATGCAGACATTTCCGGTGGGAAATGAATTGGTTGGCCAATAATTGTCGTCAATTTGACTGGTAAACCACCGTATGGTATAAACATTGGTATTTTAAAACGATCATAAATTTTACGAAAAAAATTCCTAAATGGTAATGGTAATGGACGAAATGCTTCACGTGAATTCTGTGTGAATACCGGTATGATTGGTACTTGTGCTTCACGTGCAACATGTGCAAAACCTTGACGGCCAGCCCATACAAGTTGATAATTGTGGTCACCAAACATGGCTAAATTCAGAAAACAAATATTAAAAATTTTTTTGTGGAAAAAATTAAAACAAAACAAAACAAAAAACCTTCACGTAAACCGCCCGGTGAAAGTGCCAATAAATGTTTTTGTTTCAATAATTGTATACAATCATTACGTGTACCAGGTATTAATTGAAGAACTTTTAATAACAACGACCATCCAGGTACATAATATAATGTATGATCAGTAATCGTATACATTGGACGATGTTTGTCCAGAAAAATTTTTGCCATCAAATAATGAAAATCATTTGGCAATGTTGAATGATAGAATACGATGATTGCGCCGCCATCATCGGGTATATGATTCATGTTGATTATTTCATGATCATGCCATATGCGTCCGATGATTGTTAGAAATTCTGTAGTTTTTTTTCAATCAACAAATTTTTTTTCGAATTTTCAATAATTTCATACATACTAGCAACCACTGTAACCGGATCATTCCAATATTTCCAATGTTGATCAAAATTTATGATTTGTTGTTTATCGAATATCGGTAATCGATATCGGATTCGATATGAATGTAATATCAAAGTGGCAATATAAAGTATTGAAACATATAATATTGGCGTACCGAATAAGAACACAATCGGCACCGATATGAACCAATAATTTACATCGATTAGATTAATCATTTTTTATTCGTCGAACAATTGATGTGAATGAATAAACAAAAACAACAACAACAACACAACAGGTGATTCAACAGGACAACAATTTCTTTAAATATACAAATTTTTTGTTTTCTTTGGCCTTTCCTATGACGTTGGTTGTTGCACACACACACACACACACACACACACATTAACAGACCCAAGCAACAAACACAAAATGCTTAATTATTGGTTCATTTGACACATCTATTTCCGTTGAAAATATACAATAATTATAATATAACTAAATGATGAATTTAATTGAAAATTCAATTCAATTCAATTCAATCATCATCAATTTTTCTTCCTTCTAACACTTTTTATTCTCTTATTGAAGAGAATTTTTCAATAAATGACGTAAATTCTTTTTTTTTGTTTGTTTTTTTTCCGTTTTTTCATTCGGAAATGAATGCAATTCTTTTTTTTTATTTCATGTTAAAAAAAATCTTTTTCTTTCAATGCTGTGTTGGATTTCGTTTGATTTTGGTGGTGGATATTCATTTATTTAAATGAACAAAAACGTTGCCACAATGCTTTGAGTATAGAACCGGGTCGTGTTTGATAACGATCGATTAATTGTTCCATTTTTTTTGCTGTCTATAAAAAATGATGAAAAAAATTTGAAATCACCATAGATTCATTATATTATATTATAATATAATTACCAAATCAGCAATTTCTGATGCAGACATTTCCGGCGGGAAATGAATTGGTTCGCCAATAATTGTCGTTAATTTGACTGGTAAACCACCGTATGGTATAAACATTGGTATTTTAAAACGGTCATAAATTTTACGAAAAAAATTTCTAAATGGTAATGGTAATGAACGAAATGCTTCACGTGAATTCTGTGTGAATACCGGTATGATTGGTACTTGTGCTTCACGTGCAACATGTGCAAAACCTTGACGGCCAGCCCATACAAGTTGATAATTGTGGTCACCAAACATGGCTAGAAACAAACAACGTAAAAAACATTAAAATTTTTCACTGAAAAAATCGAAAACAAAACAAAAAAAACCTTCACGTAAACCGCCAGGTGAAAGTGCCAATAAATGTTTTTGTTTCAACAATTGTATACAATCATTACGTGTACCAGGTATTAATTGAAAAACTTTTAATAACAACGACCATCCAGGTACATAATATAATGAATGATCAGTAATCGTATACATTAGACGATGTTTATCCAGAAAAATTTTTGCAATTAAATAATGAAAATCATTTGGCAATGTTGAATGATAGAATACGATGATTGCACCGCCATCATCGGGTATATGATTCATGTTGATTATTTCATGATCATGCCATACACGTCCAATGATTGTGAAAAATTCTGTATTTATTTTTTCAAACATTGGAATTGACAAATTTTTTTTTAAATTTTCAATAATACATACTAGAAACAACTGTGACCGGATCATTCCAATGTTTCCAATGTTGATCGAAATTTATGATTTGTTGTTTATCGAATATCGGTAATCGATATCGGATTCGATATGAATGTAATATCAAAGTGGCAATATAAAGTATCGAAACATATAATATTGGCGTACCGAATAAGAACACAATCGGCACCGATATGAACCAATAATTTACATTGATTAGATTGATCATTTTTTATTCGTCGAACAATGAATGTTAATGAATAAACAACAGGTGATTCAACAAGACAAAAAATTTCTTTAAACATAAAAATTTTTTTCTTCTTTGGCCTCTCCTATGACGTTGATCATTGCACATACATTAATAGATCAAAAAGAAAAACGTCTAATTTTACATCGATGAACTCCTTATTACATCTGTTGACTTCTGGCGACTTCTGGTTCAGGTATCGTATGGCTTCTGTCGATCACTTCTCTTCTTGTCACTTACATCCTCTGTTGATGTGGTATCCTCTAATTTCTGGATTAATTCATCAGGGTTTATATATATGGATTGTCTGGTACGTTATCATCTTATAGAAAATACTGCTGAGCTTGCGATGTACAATCAATCAACTTTGGTGAAATCAATCATTTCACAAATTGTAGGATTTTATTATCACCTGTTTTATCTGCTATTCTGCTTAGGTCAGCAAATACTCGTTACAAAGTATCATTCTCGAAATCCTTCCACGTTGGCAACTTTGAAATTGTACATCCTTACATCCCTCTTCATCAATATCTTCCTCGGTATGGTGTAGGATAACGTCGTAAATTTTCCATTCCATCTGTAGCTAAGTGCTACTTGTTCTTTTTAAGATAATTATAATAATCTCTTTATTTTATGCTGAATATGTGTTCGTTTGTTATTCTTGCCATCTCTGTTGCTATTTCGTTGTCGTCGTTTTGCTCTTGGTATACATATTATCATTCTTCGTTTACATCGTCTTCTTATTCATTGTTTCGTCCTCGAATTCGCCTTCGTTGAACTTCTATAGATACCTTCTTCGATTGGCTTTACAAGGTATCATCATGTTGGCTAATAATATCGAAAAGAAAAACGTCTAATTTTAGTCTGGCGACTTCTGGTTCTGGTATCGTATGGCTTCTGATGATGACTTCTCTTCTGGTGATTTACATCCTCTGTTTATGTCGTCTCATCTCCTCCGATGTGGCCTTCTCGTCTCCTCGGATGCGGCCTTCTCGTATGATGACTTCTGATGTGGTATCCTCTGATTTCTGGATTAATTCATCAGGGTTTATATATATGAATTGTCTGGTATGTTATCATCTTACAGAAAATACTGCTGAGCTTGCGATGTACAATCAATTAAACTTGCTTAAATCAATCATTTCATAAATCGTATGATTTTCATTATCACCTGTTTTATCTGCTATTCTGCATAGGTCAGCAAATACTCGTTAGCAAGTATCATTCACAAAAGTGGTTGAAAATTCAATGAAATTCAATTCAATCACTTTTGATCATCATCATCATCATTAATTTTTCTTCCTTCTAACACTTTTTATTCTCTTCTTGAAGAGAATTATTCAATAAATGACATAAATTCTTTTTTTTGTTTTTTTATTTTTTTTATTTATTCCAAAATGAATGCAATTCTTTTTTTTTGTTTTAATTTCATGTTAACAAAAATCTTTGTTTCAATGCTTCAATAGTTGTGTTTGATTTTGTTTGATTTTGTCTGATAAATTTGGCCATTTTTGTTTCCGTTTCCAATGCAATCTGATCAATCGAATAATCATGTGGAAAATGTATTGGTTCACTAATCATTGTGAATAGTTTCACTGGCAATCCAAGATGAATTAATATTGGTATACGAAAATTTTGATAAATTTTTTGCCATAATCTATGCACAATTGGTATCTGTATGAAAGCAAAACGTATGTTTCTAGTATATACCAATATGATTGGCACATTGGTTTGTTTCACTATACGTGCAAAACCTTTACGGCCATTCCAAACAATAGTGCTGTTTGTATCGCTGAAAAATGCTTCAAATGTACCACCTGGTGATAATAGCAATGATTTGCCTTTTTTCAATATCATAACACAATCATCAGAATTGCCAGGAATAATATGAAAAAAATGTAATAAAAATGAACCTATGGAACAAAATACAACGGAAAAAAAAGAAGATATTCAACAGGTAAAAATCATAATAAATGTTATATAATCACCCGGTATTCTATATACAATACGATCAGTTATCGTATAAATCAGCCGTTTTGTTTTCAAATAATAATCAGTCATCAGGAAAAAAATATCTATCGGTATTGCACCATGATAGAAAATGATCAATGCTGGCTGTGTATTGATTATGTTTTCCATGCCATTGATTTCAATATCATAAAATAGGCGGCAATAAAATTTCCATATTGCTACGACAGGAAAATAATTTTTTTGTTGTGGTCAATCAGATCGGAAATTCTTTGATTCAAAAACAATTATTACCGGCAATTATTTTCAAAAAACCATCATAACGTTTTCCACAATTATCACCATCACCGTCGCCGTCATCTGATTGATTGATCAGTTTCACTTGTGGATTCACAAATTGATAAATATAACCAATCAATAGTGTTAAATACAAAATTAATGGTATAATGAATTGAATTGATAACGATATCTTAAAGAAAAAGGAGAAAATCGAAATGAAAAACAACAACAACAACAACAACAACAACAATACAAAACATACACACAATGGTAATATTATGATCCACCATATAAAACTATAAACATCGAATGTGGATGTAAACAATAATGATGATGGCCAAGAATTATTGATTGATTGAATTTGATCCATTTTGCACACATGTAATGATAAAATTTGAAATTATTTTTTGTCTATTACCACGTCACCACAGAATTTTTTTTTTTTTTTTTTTGGCTACATTTCAGTCGATGATTGTCATTATATATTTACCTTTTTGTTGTTGTTGTTGTTGTTGTTTTAGGTTGGCTGGTTATTTTTTTCTTTTCTGAATAAACAACAAATTTCAACACACCATCATCATTTTCCTTGTAGATTGGCATTCATGATTTGTTTTGTTTGATTATAAAAGATAAAAAAAAACTCATAATTAATTTGGTCATTTGGTCATTTTTTTTTATTTGTCGTCAAGATATTATTCAAACAATTTGACAAGTGAAAAAACATAAATAATCATATGATTATGGTCAGCAATGATGATGATGATGATAATGATAACGATGATGGTGAAGTTGCATTTGTTTATCGTTTTTTCATTCTTTCAGTCAATTTTTTCATTTTCCATCAATTGAAATCGTTGTCGTATGGCTGACCATATTGAACCAGGTATTGTTTGATTTTGTTCAATCAGCTCTTTCATTTTCATTTCAGTCTAGGGAATTTTTTTTTTGCAGTGATTAGATTGATTGTTTGTTTGTTTGTTAAAAAAATCAAAAGAAAAAAAATGGATACAATTACCATTTCAGCAATTTGTTCGATGGTTGCATCCGATTCGAATCGAATTGGTTCACCAATTATGGTGGTCAATTTTACTGGCATACCACCATAGGTAAGAAATAATGGTATACGATAACGATTGTAAATAAATTTGACAAAATTTTTCATTATCGGTACTTGTCTAAATGCTTCACGAATATTACGTGTAAATATTGGTATGATTGGTACTTGTGTTTCTTTGGCAATACGTGCAAAACCTAATCGGCCAGAAAATTTTGTCTCATAATGATGATGATCACTAAACATGGCTAAATATTGCAATAAATTAGAAATTGAAATACAAATAATAATAACAAAAATTAAAATACAACCTTCACGAAGACCACCAGGTGAAAGGGCAACCATTGATCCATTGTTTAGCATTTGTACACAATCATTAACTGATCCTGGTACTAGACGCATTGCACGTAATAAAATTGACCAACCACACACACACAAACAAAAAAAATGAAAATGAATGAATTTTGTGAATAAAAAAAAAAACAAGAATCAACAGAACCTGGAAACGAATAAAGAATACGTTCAACAATGGTGAACATTAAACGTTTTTTACGACGATATAATTCAGCGATTAAAAAATAAATATCACATGGCCATGTACCATGCTTGATCAATTTATCAATATCGATTTCACTTAAGGTTTTGGCAGTGTTATAACGTTCAGTATCACTACAACCTCTCGGAAAACAGGCCCAGCTGGATTTATGTTTGCCACTTATATGCCGAAAACTGTAATCGAATTTCAAAATCCGATCATTAGAATCGATAGCAATCGGCGCGCACAATAACGATTGGATATTCATTCATTGACGATTTCAACCGATCAATGTTTATTTGCGAATCGGTAAAAATTTCAATTTTCCATTATATTTCAAATAATAATTCACAATATTACGCGACGTGGCTTTGATGACCTTCGCATAATGCCAATACACCCAAGTCGACAATAGTTCGATCAACAGTGAGATATCTTTCGATTCCCAAAAAATTTTTAAATCTTTTCTGAATAAAATGGCGTGTGGTCCATAACCACCAGTACCAGCGTCCACCTATTACGACAGTGATTTTGATCTTCAACATGATAACGAACAAATTTGATTTTATTCAATTCGTTTAATCCGAATTAGAGATCATTGATTTTGGATGCAATATCCTCACGTAGATCATCATCCAATCTTTAACCTGCACTATAGCAAATTCTTTTCGAAACAATAGAATTTATTACAGGTTCTGGAACCCTAAAGGATCAAATAATGGACTGACCAATAAATCGTAATAACCTGCTTAAAGATTTTAATTTTATCAGGAGATCTTATAACAGACATTCAAATGATCCATTGATACAATTCCATATCATACCAAGCAATTTACAGCTTGACGATTCGATTCCAAATTAATCTAGATTAAATGTAGAATTCGATACTCATTTTGTACTAAAAACAGAAGATTCAAACGATTAGATTTGCTTCATTCATTATGTTCATCAACAAAGATTCTGAATGGAGATACGGCGAGCAAATCGTCCATATACATAGAATTTTCAAAACATTCGTGAATATTCGACGATAAGTTGACATTGATTGACACAATTTGTAACTTATTGTTGAGCACTAATAACACCAAATGGTAATACGATCATTTTATCATCATCATCATTGATCATTAAGGATCTTTCCGCTGGGCAACCGTAGATATTGGCGATCAGATTCACCATCAACGATTTGTAGAAACGCTTTCTGTAAATCACCAATGCATAGAAACGGTGCCATTCTAATTCTCACAAGATGAGGCAATGTATTCAAATTCAATGATTCACCTTCCAAAGCAAATCGTTCATCGAATTCCAACCCAATGACGCGTTCAATACAATTCGGAATTTCAGTAGTCGCGGCATCAGGTCGTTCAACTTCATGATGTGGAATAAAATATCCATCTGTTTCATTAATAATTTTGCATGGTTATTTCAACGTATTTCATTAATTCTGATTCATATTGTTCCGCATCCTTTTTGTTCAAACGAGATTGTAAAACCGATCAAGATGTTCTATTGCCGTTAGGTTGATCGATTGGTCTTTTGAGAAAAACCTTGTTATGGCTTTGAATCAACCATTATCCAATTTCTCCATTCGTAAATTCATTTTGTCATCATCAACTTCTTCTGGACAATCATTTTTCATGTCCAATGCGTTTTCGCTTCGTTGCCCAATGACGTTAATCACTTTCATTGATGCAAGGTCTATATCTCAAATTGAATACAGTATGCCATAACACGGCAGACCTTCACGAAATATTCAACCATATGATTCGACCAACAATAATGTTATTGGATGGTACGATCAGATACATATGCTTCCGTTAGATTCACCATTTGGATGCGATAATACGAATATCGAGCAATTTGATCCATAATACAGGATATGATTTTGAATCCACATAGCATAATCTGGTGTAACTTGACGACGATATTCCAATGGTGCCAAATTACGTCGCTGACAACAGATACATCTGCACCAAGTCAATCCACCAGAATCCATCCACACCATTTGGCCAATGTTGCCAGCTGTTTACAATGAACAACCTTCACGCTATCCAGTGATAGCCATTGTTTTTACTTCCGTCTCGTCAAAATTTATACCCCATGTGGAATTTGATGATGGATGGTTTGTCATTGCACATACATGTACAATTTATATAACATCCTTTTCGACGGCAATCCGATTGATTTGTGTCCAGACCGCAGACATATACGACACAAACCTTTATCAAAATAACAATAATCCTTTATCGAGGCTGGACAATTCACTTTTACATGCAGTTGCTATGTGTCCAGGTTTATACCACAAAACATTTTTTCATTGGTTTTGTCACTACAGTTCGAATCTGACGAGCAGCTTGGATCTCGACTCAATATTTTTCTGTTAGATTAAACCGACAATTTATGCTCAGCACCGCGTTGTGCCGCCGTTATGGCATGAATTGATGAGCTTTTGACTCGTTCCACAAAGATCGTCCAACGATCGACATTCAGCAGAAATTATTTCGATTCTTCTTCAAACTTATCAGCAAATCCAAACCATTTCGACGTATTATCACGAGTGCCCGAAGTTTGACACGGCATTTCGAAATTCTTCAATTTGAGATTTAATTCTCTCGAGGCCATCAACATCATATTTGTCTTTCACATTTGACATTTTCAATATCATTGATTGAATATGCAGATTAATGTGATCAGGATTTTCAAATTCATTCGACAATGCTTTCCAGCTCTTTTTTAGATTCATTCGTTTCGTCTCGCAATGGTCCCAAATTGACGAAGCTTTTCCTTTGACAATTCCGGATATGAATGCTCGTTTTGAACACTCCGATTCGTTTTTACGATCAATTATCAGCGATTCAACACGACGTTTGAATGTACGATTCTTCAACAACGTTATCCATAAATGGCTTAATTGGAATTAATAATGATTCTGTAAATTGGTTATACCATTGACCGCATCTGATTTCGAGCGACTTTTATGCTTTATTCTTCTTTTCAAAGATAAGTCCTTTAATTTACGACGCGTAATTTTCCATTTCATTCTCAATTTCTCAATTGGATTTCATTATCATATGCCAGCTTCACACTGTTCACAATGCCAAAAAAAAAATCGAATCACTGTGGTGATGCGAAAGTGAAAAAAAAATTCATTTTCATTTCATTTGAATTAAAATGTGCGAAAGAGAGTGAGAGAGAAATTTCAATTCTTGAAATGATTAATGAATTCTTCATTCGTGTGCATGTGTGCATGTGTGTGTGTGTGTGTTACTTGGTTTCGAAATTGATTCACATTTGTTGTTTTTATTTTTAAATTTCACAATTCAATTCATTAGAATCGTTAAGATTTGGAAAAAAAGTCATTAGAATCTTTGTAAAAAGAAAAAGTTTTGTCTATGAGTGTGTGTGTGTGTGTGTGTTTTAAAATTGTGAAAATTGAAATTTCTAATTGCATTAGATTTTTTGCCATCAATAATTAAACACATTGAGAATTCAACAACATTGAAATGAAACTCAATAAAATAACACACACACACACACACACACACACACAGTTACAGAATAATGGCCATTTCATTTCAAACCAACAACAGAACAACAACAAGAATTTATTTTTTTTTTTTTTGTTCGATTCTCTTTCACTTCATCATCATCATCATTTGGATTCTAGATTTTTTTTTTTTTTTTTGGTCTATAAAAAAACAAACTAATGATTTATTATGTTGTGATTGTCAAACAAACAGAAAAAAAAATTCTGTTTGTGTGCGTGTATTCTCTGTGTATATATGAAATAGCCCAACATGTTCCAAATATAAATGACAACATTTTTTTCTCGTTTTTTCTTCATCTTATTTGACCACCACCACCACCATTGATCATTGATCATTCGTCATCATCATTCGTATTCTAGCGACAACAACAACAACAACAACAACAAAAACAGAAATCAAACAACCAAACAACCAAACAACAACAAAAACAACAAAATACATCAAATGATCATTATTTTCAAAAAAAAAAAAAAAAATGATTCGATTGATTTGATTTGCTGATAAAGCCTAAAGTTCAAATACACATAATGAAAAAATTTTTTTTCCAATTTTAATTGAATTAAATCAAAATAATGATGATGATGATCGATAACCAATCATCATCATCATCATCATCGGAATGAAATGAAATGAAAATTTAATTGATACTCAGAACCAACAGAATCGAATGATTGAATCATTGATGATGATGGAATTGAAAATGAAAACAACAACAACAACAACAAAAACAAAAAAGAAAATAACTTTTCAATGTTACTGTGAAATAAAAAGAAAGAATCGACACACACAAAAACATCATTATTTCGATGCTGCAGTTGTCATCATCATTACACCATTTTTTTTTCTTCATTCTTCATTCAGTCTGGCTGTTTGTTTTTCCATTTTATTTCTGTTTTTCTTTTTTTTTTTTGAACATTAGAATTCTTGATCAAAATCAATTGGAAAGAATTTTCTTTCCTATTTTTTCATTTTCATTCGGACTCTATCAATTTTCATCGGTTTTTTTCCACTCTATTTCAAGTCTCTTTTTTTTCCAATTCACATCGATTCACTGAATTCTTCTTGTTGCTATTGCTGTTGTTATAATAATCAATTTTGACCATACAGAATTTTTGCACTCTGGAATGCTTGAAAATTAATATAAACCATGCCAATGTTCATGAGCATTGAAACCACAAAAAAAAAAAAAAAAAAAAAAAAATTCTGAAGATGTAATTTATTCTCTCTCTCTCTATATATATACGGTCAGTCACATAACATCAACAACTCGTTTTTTTTCATTGAAAAATTATTTATGTGTAAATGTTGTATGAATTCCCATTGGGAATCCAGTTATTCCATGACCCAGAAACAAAACAAAACAAAACGAAAAAAAAAAAAAAAAAAAAAATTCTTCATTTATCTATCTCTCTGGCGGTTGGTCGGTGTTATCATCATCATCATCATCATAGTTATTATATAACACACACACACACACAGAAACATCCATTAATATGTATAAATGTTGTGCGAGCTAGA